AAAAGCTTAAATACGAAATTAGAAATTTTGGAAGTTTGTTGTAAGAGTTATCGTGGACGAGGAAAAAAAAAAAAAAAGTCAAGCACATACAGACACTCAGCCAGGCGGAAATGCTTGTACAAATGATAAAAACGTGTTACGGGAACTCTAACTCGTACCTATTCACTGGAAACGCATTATTAAAATTTTGGGCTGAAAACAATACCTTCCTTACCTTTGTATATAGCTTGGCGGAAGGTAAAAAAAGATTTTATGCACACATATAATTTTATTTTATTAGTCCAAAAGGGACGTTAGTTCGGTATGGGATATTGACATTTTGTGTTGAATCATTGTAAACGACGTATTATTTTTCAAACTGTTGTCACCAAATATTATGGCATTGCTTTATTTTTAAAGAAACTAAATAACGAAGAATCTGAATGAATGCATGCATTTTTCCAGCATTGTGATAGAACAGTGGTACCAAGAACCATCCAATTCTGAATAACGTAGTCCTCCATCGAAACATGCGCACCTGGAAGTCCGAATTTTGAATTTTTTTATTCTTTTCATATTTTGTAAAACTTTAACGAATTTTTAATTAAACTAATCAACGATTTCAAAGCGAGCAGTGACATTGTATGGGGGGGGGACTTTTATCACTAGCGAGTGAGACTGTCTATCGAAAAACTTTTAGGGAGCGTAAACGTCAAGAACGTGATATTTAATAAATAAAGTAAACACACAAAACTTTAATACTAAAAAGACAAAAAAAAAAAAAAAATGTAAAGCCATCCTAGTAAAAAAAAAAAAAAAAAAACTTAACATTGATATGATGAACTGAGGAAACGACTAAAAAAAAAAAAAAAAGTGTGTGCCAACACTTAATCGGGAATTCTAAACGTATACTGCTATGCTGCTTTGAAAAATTTTGTAGTTTTGCCATTGAATTTTATATGACGTAAGTGCAAAAAAAATTATGCTTAACAAGAAAGCAAAAAAGGGGGAAAAGTTAATAGGAGTGAGCGTTGCGAGCTCAGTGACTGCGTACAAAACGTTCACAAACCCTTTTGAGCAACCGTTGAACCGTTAGGATAATTGGAAAAGCCGGAGAGATGAAAAATTAGCAACCGCCTTCGCTGGGAATCGAACCACGGACCTCTGGAATACCGACACAGCGTGCAGAGCCACTGCACCACGAAGGCACGCTAGGAAGGCGGGAGAAATACCTTATACACTTCCCCTTTTAAAGGGCGACTGGGGTTTTTAGGGGATCCATTCGCAAAACTCTGTGCGAGGAGAATCATCATCCAACACCCTTTTAGTTGGGGCGCCACTGTAGAGACATTAGGTCAATTGGAAGCAGGCAAGATGAAAAATGAGCAATCGCCTTCGCTGGGAATCAAACCACGGACCTCTGGAATACCGGCCCAGCGTGCAGAACTACTACACCCACGAAGGAAATACTTTATAGCCATTCTTCATGGGTGCACTCAAAAGGAAAAGATATGTTCTGGAGTAAATAAAGGCTACATTGCTTTGTCAGCGATGGTCGATGTAAAAAAGCGTTCAGCAAGGAAGCACAGTGTCTTGAATAAGTAACTTCAGAAGTCCCCCCCCCGTTTTGCTTGCCATGAATCTTCTGACTGAGATGTTCCCTTTGAAGCGGGTCATCGCCTCTATGCCATCCTCGGTCTTTCCTTAAGAGGACCCTGTTTCCATCTGACATAGCTCCATCAAGAGCAGTCATTTTAAGTTTTCGTCAAACAGACTCTACTAAAGCAAAGAACGTGCGTGTAAAGAAGAAAAGTTTCGTAGATATAATGTAATCCAATCTGCCTAATGTGCCGTGCCGCTAAATCGTGGAGAGACAAATTCTCATTGTCAAATCGCCAGGTGTACTGGACACTGAAGATTACGGGACAAAATCGAAGAACTTACAGGATTCGTTCTTTGAGAAAAAAGCCACAGGGGCTATTTATCTAATAGAAAGTGATCTCTCGTGGTGGACTTTCTGAGGGAAACTGGCTCATATTCACGTTACACATGGAAAACCACGAAAAACAACCATGCAGATAACGCCGTTCACCTGGATTTGAACCCAAAGAGGTCTAACTTTCAATATCTAGCGGTCGTAACCAGGACTATGGAGTCGGACTCAGAGACATGAAGTCGGAATCGGAGTCGGGCAGCTTTTGGGGTAAAAGGAGTCGAAGCTGGAGTCGCTAAAAACATGTCGACTCTGATTCCAATTTTTGTTGGACAGTTTGAATTTTAAATTAAATTAAAATGAATTGCCATTAGCAATTAAACTGATTCATTTAGTTACAAATCTCACTGGTAAATTTAGTTAAGCAGCAATAGCAGCAAGAACTCCTAAAATTGATGCCATTCTTAGGAAGCGAGCAGGAAAAGGAGCAACTATTGATCAAGCAACGCGATAAGGAAGCACATATTTGATGATAAAGAGTTTTTAGAATTAAGATCTTCTTTAGAAGAAGTAGATAATCCTAATGTTTCACTAACAGAAAGATTGTGGAATGATCTTGCAGAATTGGAAACTCTTCTTTCTACACCTTACATAGCCACAAAAAAGCTGCAATCTGAAGAACTGTCAGGAGGCGAGAACGGAAGAATGGGATGTTTGTTATTTCTGAAATGGAAGGTTTATTGCAGAAGGAATCATTTCTTCAGTAAAGAAAAGAGAAACCAGTTTGCTAGACAATGAGATCTTACTGGGTTCAATATATGTAGATCAGATACACCGAGTTTTTTGGATGATGAACAAATTAAAAATGCAAAGAAATTCATCTATGAACTTTCATTAAGAATTAAATTTTTCTCGGAACAACTGGAGAATTCGAATCAGGACAGTCAAACTGCAGATATTGCAATTGAGTTTCTATCATCCTCTTCCAGTAATGAATTAGGTTTTAAGAAATATTTTTTGGATAATATTGAAATAGCTAAGGCAAAGCGAATGAAAATGAACGATAAGCGATAAGCGACGGAGGACGTGGGCACTGTCTCTTTACCATTTGGGTTAATCAGTACAGCACCACGTCCACCTTTATCTTACATTTCATATTACATTATATATTACGATACATGATTTACACATTGCATTATATACTACATATCAAATTAATACCTTATCCTAACATTACATTAACTTCACATCAGCTTATTACATTAAAATTCTTTTCTAATAAACCCTATATTGGTACATTATAAAAGGGTTATTTTGCACAGGATTCGCATTAGACACAGGATACGCATTATATTATCATTATACACTGGGTACACATTACATTATATACGGAGAAAATAATGATACATAGGAACATTATACACAATAGGGGGTTATAAGCACGATACGGGTTAGATTATTCACAGGAAATTAGTTATACACAGGTATTGCATTATACAGGATAAACTTATTCACATGATAGGTCTTCTCGATACACTGCCTACATCGTTATGCATAATACTATTATAAAGTTTGCATTCACATTTCTTCAGTTGGGCTTTGCATTCTGTGTCATGTTGCTCATTAATCAGTACATACTACATTACATATTACATTGCATATTATGATACATATGACACTATTACGATTACATTACATATTACATTATATATTATGATACATATAACACTATTAGGACTACATTACATATTACATTATATATTATGATACATATGACAATATTACGATTGCATTACATATTACATTATATATTATGATACATATGACACTATTACGATTACATACATATTACATTATTTATTATGATACATATGACACTAATACGATTGCATTACATATTACATTATTTATTATGATACATATGACACTAATACGATTGCATTACATATTACATTATATATTATGATACATATGACACTATTACGATTACATTACATATTACGATACTTGGCTTACGTATTAGATAATGTACTACATATCAAATTAACAAGATAGTTTATCAGTACATACTACACTACATATTTTATATTGCGATACATGGTTTACACATTACATTATATTCTACACATCAGATTGACAAGACAAAATAACGCCTTACCTTAACATTACATTAACTTCCCAATACTTATTACATTAATTTTCTTTCCTAATATACCGTATACTGGTAACAGATACATTATCATCAGATTGTAATAATGTTGTTTTGCACTGGCTGCGCATTCAACACAGGATGCGCATTAAATTATACACAGGGAAATTAGTGATACATAGGAAAAACATTATGCACAGAAGGGGGTATATACATGATGCGTGTTAAGTTATACGCAGGGAAATTTGTTATGCACAGGTGAAACATTATGCAGGATAAATTATACTGACTAACTTATACGAATGTGCATATTACATTACTCCTTATAATTAAACCGGTAAGCTTTACAATGTTATTCTGTACCGAAGTTCTTTACACTTATAATACATTGCTTAATCATTACATTAATATATTTACCATGTACAAAAACATATAATGGATTACATTGGCATTCCTAATATACATAGATTACTTTTGCATTTACAGTTAGCATATTACTGCAGTATTTTGCATCTGTGCATTTCTCCATTACTTACATTTCGCACCTTAGAATAGGTCGCGGTATATGGATGTGATTGGTATTAGTACGCGTAGTACATGAACTGTCCTGCATTGCGTAATTTGCCAGTATTGACACGTTGCTGTTCTGTTGAAGGCAGTTATACGCGCTGCAAAGTGCATAGTTATATGCACGATAACTGACCTCAGTGCGTAATGTTCATTACTGACTCAGTTCATTTGCAATATTTACAGTTTTAGTTTGTGAGCTGCTCGTAGCACATCATGCCGATAGTTATATATACATGGAGTTTGTATGACATGGTTTTTAATTTACACGATACATGGCACATGGTAAATGACGTTGCACACTCCACCTTGCATTTGCATATCATATCTTAGCACGTTTGTTTTAGATTAGACATAAGTCTGTGCCCACGTTCAAACCATAAATCTGCAGAAAGCCTGCGTATTTGTAGTTGGAATTGGCAGGTGCAGATCTGCTGTAAGCGGGCATTGGGTAACATAATGATCTGGGGTGCCCATCTCACCACATATACAATGTGCATTTTGTGCGATCCCGTGTTTTTCATAGTACACGGGAAAAGGACCGTGTCCGGTAATGTATCGGACCATTTGTGCATGCACTATGAGACGGTCTGAGTCTACCGTAGGGACGTGATAGTGAGCACGGCGTCCTGTCTCACCAGTATCCCATTCCTCCTGCCAAACGGATTTTGCCTTGTGTTTCAGACTTTTCTTTAAATATGAAACTGGCCAAGGGATGGTGATATGTTCCGCATTGATGTTTCTTGCAGCCTCCTTTGCAAGTTGATCTGCTTGCTCGTTCCCCCTGTTGCCGACGTGGGCCTTGGTCCATTCTATCCTGGTGTTAAGATGGCTGTGGTCGCGCAGATGTGTCTGAATCTCTGCAATCAGTGGGGAGCTGTGCACAGGGTTCACAATTGCATACAGCGAGGAGAGGCTGTCTGTTATAATGAAGCTGTCTCTTTGCCGCTGTTGGATTATCGTAAGTAGAGCTTGTTTGATGGCCATTACTTCACTCTGGAACACGCTGTTGTTTGTGTCCAGGTGACCTTTCCATTGTGCTATTGTGCTTTGCTGTCTGAGGGCAACATAGGCGCAACCTGTATTTTCATCTAGTTTTGACCCGTCGGTATAATAGACTAGATCATCTTCCTTTACATTGGTGTTTTGCTTGATGCTAATCTTTACTCCCTGTCCCTGCGTTGAGGGGTGATCGGCAAGGCGTATCATCTTTTGTTCAAATTCGGCTGGTGAGTATAGCTCGTCTCTGAAGGTGGTTAGATTGCCAAGTTGAGTGATCTCCTGATAGGCTGCTTCCTTTTCTACGCTCAGATGGAGCGGTAGCAATCCCGCTAGTACGCATAACGCATTTGTAGGGGATGTTCGGAAGGCCTTGGTGACATTCAGGAGAAAAGGCCTTTGTATGCTAAGTAGATGCTTGACTTTGCGGCCCTGCATAGGCGCTGACCAAACAGCCGCTCCATAAGTTATAACTTTCTCGGCTACTGTTGTGTAAAGCGTTTTCTGGATATAGGGATTGAGACCCCATTTATAGCCCTGCATATATCTTAGTTGTTGGGCTAATCTTGCAGTTTTCTTTTTCAGCTCCAGCACACGGGGGATCCAGTTTAATTTGGTGTCGAAGAGGATTCCTAGATATTTCAGCACTGGAGTGACGCGGAGGCGATGTCCGTTTAAAGTTATCCTTGGCTGTCTTGCCAGTGATCCGCCTTTTTTTGGGACGAGCAAAATTTGATATTTGGCCTCTGCTATTTGAAGTTTTAGGGCTGTGCATCTTTCCTGAAAAAGGAAGCAGGATTCGATTGCATTGCCTGGAGCTGTTTCCTGGTCCTTCCTTTGACGATTAGGGCTGTATCGTCTGCGTAAGCGATGATCCTTGTATGGTCAGGCCATGGGTTGTTGAGGACTCCGTTGAAGGTTATGTTCCATAGGAACGGTCCGGCGCATGAGCCTTGCGGGCATCCCTGTGTCTGATCTTGTTCTATAATTCCGCTGTTATGTGGAAGGATCAGCCGGCGGTCCGCTAAATAGTTTACGATGGTGTTGTAAATATTGCTTGGGCAGTTAGCGGTTCGTAGAGCTTGTAATATTGCTGGCCACCACAGCGTATCAAAAGCGCTCTTAAGATCTATTGAAATGAACGCTGTGTGGTAGCCAGAGGATCTGTTAGCCAGTATTTGGTTTTTGACTTCCATCAGGGCATGTAGTGTTGATTTACCTGGGCTAAAGCCAAATTGAATTGGACTCAGGAACCGGGTTCTGTGCAGATGGTGTCTTAGCCTTGTCATGAGTATCTTTTCGAAAACCTTACCCAGGGTAGAGAGTAAGCAGATCGGTCTGAATGACTCTGGTCTCGTAGGATCTTTGTTCTTCTTCAGGAACAAGACTACATGACCGATTTTGAAACACCTGGGAAATGTCCCGGTACGAAGAAGCTGATTAAATAGCAGTTGGAAGATGTTGACATTTGTTCGCACTATTAATTTTATTATCCGGTTGTCGATGCCATCTGGTCCAGGTGCTTTACGCTGCGGAAGCTGGCGCAGGACCTGGAGTATTTCTGCAGTTGTAATATCAGGGTCATCCATGGTATTTATTTCAAGAGGCTGGTTTCGGACGATGGTATGAAAGGCTGTGTCTTCCTGTCGGGTTGTCCTTGGTGAAGACTGTCCTTAGGATCTCTGATAACGTAGACTCCGTGAGATGGTCATTAGTATTTGGCGTTGGCTGGAGGTAGAGAGTTGCCGGCTTGAAGAGTTTGCCAGCTGCGATTTTGTGGTGGATACCAAAGGTGGTCGTAGTTTCTGTGCAGAATTTTCTCCAGCTGCTTATCTTAGCTTCCAGAATCATTCGCTTATAGAGTGCTCGCTCCCGTTGGTAAAGCAGCAGGGTGGAAGTTTCTAGGTTATGTCTGCGCTCTTGCTTTAGGCGTCGCCGTTGTTGTTGACTTCGAAGCGTGCCATTCCACCAATTCAGCGTTGTGATTCTTTTGGCCGTGAGCAGAGGGAGATTTTCATCACATGCCTTCTGGATTGCGGTTAAGATGTCTTGGATGAGGTTCTGGAGGGCCTCTTTGCTGTTGGCCTGTCTTATTGCGGTTGCAAAAGGTGCCAGACGGGCTCTAATGATGGCTGTGAATGCTCGAACTTTCCGTCCAGGGAGATTGTACCGTTTAAGAATAGAGGTGGCTGTGCTATTTGCTAGATTAAACCGTATATAATTATGGTCGGAGATACTAAGGTTTTCGACGACTGTCCAGTCTTGCAGTATGGGTGCCATCTGTTGGGTGGTGATGGTAAGGTCTGGCCAGCCGCGCGAGTGTAGTCTATTGAATGTAGGCGGTGCATCCGAACGATTGTGAATTACGAGGTTACTGCTGTGAACAAAGTCCTCGAGTATGCGGCCTTTAGGAGCTGTGATTGCATAGCCCCAGGTGGTGCTGTGTGCGTTAAAATCTCCAGCAAATAGTATGTTAGCTATTCGGTGCGATCTCATCAATCGTTGTATGCGTTCTAATGTGGGGATCTGCTTCTTCTGTTGGTGGAGAGTAGATTGAAACCAGAACCACTGTTAGATTTAGTACCTCTAATAGTATTGCTACAAAGTCCCTTTCGGCTGCTATCATTAATGGTGACCATTTGGGGTTGCAGTTTGCTATAAATGCTCTTGGTGGTTGATCGATATCTTCTTTTTGATAAATGCTCCATTGTAAGGGGAAGCCGACTACTTTACCATTCCTGCAGTATGGTTCTTGACCTAAGATTAGGTCTATTCGTTCCTCTGCAGCGTAGAGAGCTGTCTGCGATGTTGCTGCACGTGCATGCTGTAGGTTGATCTGCAGGCACCTGGTTTCTGATTGTCGTTCCGACTGCATTATGTTAAGTGCATCCTTTGTCGTTGATGGATCTTTCATCTGCTTACTGTTTTCACCATAACGAGGTCGTGCAAGCTGGTCTGTCATTAATAATCCGTATTGCTGCGGATTGTATCGACTGCCCGCTGGTAGACTGGGCATTCGGTAGCATAAGTCGGGTGAAAGAAGTTGTACCTTGTGCCCCATCTACAGTTTGAGTCCCCACAGTTAATACATGAGGGCTGCTCAGCTGTACAACCATCTGGTTGGATGCGGGCCGGAGCAGAAGCCGCAGAAGACCTTCTTTGACCTGCATGCGTCTTGACTGTGCCCGAACTGCTGGCAGCGATAGCATCGCCTGATGCCAATGAATTCAGAGATGCCATGGGATTGCCATGCAGTGAAGATGCGTCGGGCTTTGGTTGCGGCGGCAAATCCTTCTGCTGCGCATTCGATAATCCACTTGACTGTCTTTGGTCGCCTTTCTTTAAGTCGGAATAGCGCCTTGTAGAGGTTAGACGATGTTCCGTTGTTGTACTAAGCTCGGAGATGATCTCCTCCGGCTTGGTGCTCTCAGGAACGTTGTGTATGGCAATCCTCGGTCGTCGTCGTTGGCGTCTCTTGACGTCGACATCTATGTTGGCTTTTTGTATATGCTGTTGCAGTTGGTCAAGTTCCTCTGCTGTCTGGCAGAATACCTCTAATCCTCCTTGTGGCGTAGGTTGGATCTTTTCCACTGTGACTGGGATCTTTGTAAGGGGAACTTTTTGCTTGTAGTTCTTTTCCTTAGCTCTCCAGTGGGTTTCTTAGTGATGGGCTTGATTATGATGCTAGGTATTCTGGATTTACGCAATACCTCAGCGAACGTCGGAATGGAGGTATTGGACTGCGAAGTCAGAGCTGGTTCGCTATTGAGCTGTTGCACAGGGTGTGTGGAGGCGTGAACTGCTTGACAGCACACAAAGGTAGAAGTATTAGTGCCTGTCTCTTCAGTTACTGGCTTTGGTGCGTATGCTGGTCCTGCAAGTGCTAATTCTTGTAGGACGTCTAAGGACTTTTCCAATTGCTCCCTTAAATCTTGGGTTAATAGGAATTTATTTCTTCGAAACGTTGCAGAGATCTGCCGAATGTTTCCTGCTAGGACGGCTACACGTTCTTCGTGCGATAAGTCCGATGCCAATAAAGCTTCAGGATCTAAAATGCCTTGTGACTGGGTATTCTCTGTGTGTCGGTCGGTTGTGAAACGAGGGACGCGACATGTCAGAGCGGATACGTTGATTCTTGAAATGCACTGATTAAAAAGGCCCTTGTTATGTTGGACACTAAGGTATGCAAGGTGGGGAGAATGCGTGATGTAAGCACTTAATATCACAGTGTGGCACCACCAGTCATATGCTTAATTTGGTGATACCACAGGACATTAAAGTAAGTGAATCGGACAGTACACATCAAGTGGTGAGGATAGCAAAGTTAGTAACATAAGAAAATGCACTTTGAATGTATGCAGGAATGTAATTTCACAAGTATGATAATAGGTAAATGGGTAATTCAATGCAGAATAACAACAGTATTTATCAATTCAATACAGAAAAGCAGCAGTATTATATCTTGACATTCCCAGGTTCCAGATACGCCAGAGGCTCGGAAATGAGGGTGGTGAGTACTGATGCGCAAGTCCTACGTTAAGATTGGAAAGTGGGGGAGAATCTACGGAATAATTAGTTAATGTGTTTTAGGGTAAGTCAGGAGGGCGCAGGGGTATAAGAGAAAAGCTGGGTTCTGTTGTGTAGTTTTGAGACTGTTACGAGTGCTGATTAGTGGAAATTAGAAGTGAAAATGAGAGACAAGAGGTTAATTAAACTCATTGAAAAAAATATTAATTAGTATAGATATGAGGGGATGGTGGTAGAATGAAGGAGGGAGTTTGTGTTGGTAAATAGAAGTGGTACGGTGGAGTTACTACTATTAGTTGGGAAGTTGGAAGAGAAATAAAATGCTAATAAGGAGTGATTAAATTAAAAATAGGAGAGAAATAAATTTGAAGGGAGGTTCTAAAGGTGTTAATATTGTTGAAAACCTGAGGGCAAGCTGAGAGAGAGAGACTGAAAGAATTACAAGACTAAGTGATTAGGAGGGAAGATATAGGAGAAATAAAAAGTAAAAGTAAAGAAACAAAAGGAAAAAAAAAAAAAAAAAAAAAAAAAAAAAAAAAATTAAAGATTAAAAATGAGGGGAGGGCTTGTAATTTTGAAACTATTGAGTGATAGGTTTTCAGAAAGAAGAGGAGGAAGAGAGGATTAAGACATTTTAGGTTAGTATTGGTTAGTATCTGAAAAAGAAAGTATTTTTGAGGGTAAACTAATAGGAGAGATTCAATGAAAGTTATTTATTATTGAAAGGGAAAGGGAGGGATCTTTTTATTATTAGTTTGGGGGGTGTGTCTAGTAATAATTAGATTTTTAGGGCTAATAGGTTAGGGTTAAAAAGTTTGAGATTTAGGCTTAGGAACCTCTGGTGATAATTATAACAAAAGTTGTCTATTTACTTTGCCCGACTCCGGACTTAGAAATTTTTGTAAATGCTGTTGCACACTATACAATACATGATAGCAGACACAGTATATAAAAGCAAAAATTTCAATGAGAGGTCAATGTTAATAGCAATTAAATACAAGGCAGAAGTTATATCCGAACTACATGGACGGACCCTGCGCAGCTACTGCTGAGATTTTGGCAGGGTTGGCAATATGGCCGTCCTGTTGGGGACTTAGAATTTATCTAGATTGTGCACGGTAGTGAATTAAGACATACAACTATTACAGATGCACATAAAAGAAATATATGACTATATATATATATACATAAAAATACGATACTGATTTAAAATCTGTGCAGAAGAAAATTCTAGGATTATTTTAAGCAGAGATATTGGTTTAGGTATTTAGGCAATTTTAGCACTTTGAAAGTATCATACAGTATAACAATAGCATTAGCGTTGCATGTATACTAAATAAATAAAACACAGAATAATGAAAAAGAATTAAAATAAACACATAATCAGATGGAACATAAAACAAGGTAAAACTTATTTAGATGAGGATTCTACTGTAATTATTAAACAAGATATGAATGTATTAAGAATTACACATTTTAAAACTGGTAGATTTACCGCTGAATTGAACGAAGAATTCTATGTCCATATTATCAAAATTTGAGATTACACAGTTAGAGGCTATTGAAGTTTTTAGGAGGTAGATTATAAGAACCCTACCTTAATCTTCTTTAGATGGGATTCCTGCGATGATTATATTCCAAGATATTGATTTTTTAAACTTTTAAGCACTTTGTGGCACTGCTGGAAATCACTAGATTCTTATGCCTACTACGATAACCACGTGGTGGCTCCGCGGCACCCTTCCGTCGCAGTGTCGACTTAGTAGGTTGGCACACTCACCGTAAAATTGCTGCTGCCTGTTTTCCCTTGTTGATGGCGCAAAAACACTAGTAACTCAACTCGCACACACACATATGAGGTATCCAAATGTACAGGGATACTTCGAGCACAATTTAATGTAAGAATTATATTCGTAGGATTAAAATTGCTGCGAAAAAACTCGCTTTTTCGGGAGCACACCAAAAAGACGTCCTACCTCAATTCCGTTTTAAGCGAATGAAAATAAAGAACCAAGAGCCTTTAGATATAAAATAAAAAAAAAAAAAAAAAAAATACAAACAAGATTTCTACACGGCCTTTGAAGAAATAGAGAAATATGATTGCGCTTGCAAGACACCTCTTTTAGAACTTACAAAAATTTATCCTGAAAAGTTAAAAGAGGTAGCCCTAACAGTAATAGCTTTTCCTCCGACTCAAGTTAGTGTGGAAAGACTCTTCTCAGCTCTGAAGTTTATCAAATCGGATCTATGGGCCTCCAACAAAGAAGATCTTGCCGAAGCTATACTGTTTCTTAGAAATAACTAATACCAGTTTTTCTGTTTCATAATAAATGCTAATTAATATAAATAATTTGCTATGCCATCAATTTTTTTCTATAATATCTTCTATTATTTCTTTTATATTAAAAAAAATAAATTGTAACCCATGCATATATATTTACATATATATATATATATATAAGGGAGTCGGATTCAGAGTCGGAGTCATTAAAATTCTAGGAGTCGGTAATTTTCCCTACCGACTCCAGGGTCGTAACAATTCCACCACTGATGGAGCAATACGTTTTAGTATTTGTCCTTTATGGCAATTTTAATGCATGGTTTTAAATCTTTTAAACTCAGAACATCTGTGTAGTGCATAACATTAGTGAAAGGAAGAACCCCCTTATAGCACGCGATTATTTACTGTCAGTAAATGCCACGTGAAATACAATCTAAAAAGCTAGCGTAAATAACGCGTCACATGTCCGACT